CTCCCTTCCTGTCCTCCCAACCCATGTCTACTCACCCCCTTCCCCTTTCCCCTCCCCCCCCCCCCTCCCCCTCCCCCTCTTCCCGTCCCCTCCCTTCCTTCCCCTTCCCCTTCCCCCCATGCGGTGGGATCTTTTCTCCCTCTCAGCCCCCCCCTCCCCCCCCCCACCCCCTCCCCCCACACACACACGTACGTGTCCATGCACTCCTCAAAGGCCTTCCAGAACTGATGGCAACGCCCCGTTCCTGCACGCACGCCAAACTGAGACGCCATGGTCCACACAAGTCGAGTGTTCCAGCCTCTCACTCATACCCTCACCACGACCTTGCCTCGACCTTGCCTCTCAGCCGCCCGCCGCCCTCAGCCGTCCCCCTCCCCCCGGGCAATCAGCCCTAGGCCGGATCGCTCCTCCGTCCTGGCTGAGCCATCACTTACCTGGCTTGGCGGAAGACTTTTTTTCGGTACGGATGCGGGCGTCATAGTCATCGCATGCATGATGTTTATCTGCCATCAATGGGGAGAGCCTTGATATGCTGTGGCGATTGATCATGTGTGTGGCGCCCGGCTGTGTCGTGGCCACAAAGGGGTACGGCGGGATGGTTCGGGCGTGGTGATAGAGTCGGCCAGCTGCGAGTGGGGTGCCGTCCTTAGTAGAGATCGAGCAAATCGTCGAGGTCCTCGTCCATCAGCTCGGTCATGATGTCGTACGGGATGTCGTACGCGCACCGGAACGAGAGCCGATCCGCCGAGACGTCGATGTCCAGCCGGTCTAGATCGAGGTCAATGCCTTCGCCGCCACCCACAAACGGCGCAATAGTAGCCTGCGGCGCGCCGCTGCTGTCATCCACGTCCGGTCCGAGCCATTCGTACGCGGCAGGCGCCGAGAGCGTCCGATAAAGCTCCGGCAAAGCCTCCCATTCCTCGACCGACGCTACGCGGCCGTAGCTCGGATCGCGCCACGAGCAGTAGCCCTCGGCGTCATGGAACGAAACATGACCCACCGCGTCGCCGTCCTCAGCCAGTCCACCTGCCCATGACACGCCTGCGAGCTGCCACCAATCGATCTCGCGAGCGAGGAGCGGAGGCGGGATGGCATTTTCTGCGAGCGGCTCGGCGTCATCTGAGGGCGGCAGCGCCACCAGTGACCATCCATAGCCCTCAGCCTCGGTCTCCCATCCTGTCGACTGGACAAACTCCCGAAACTCGGCCACGCTCACCACATCGACCTCGACATGCGCCACCCGATCGCTCGTCCGCACCGCCAGCCGTCCGCCGCCTGCCGCCGCCTGGCCACAGGCCAAGCTCACCAGAATCACAGCCGTTACCAGTACCATGTACACCTTTGCCCATACCCAGTCTGACCGGTACCTCAACGTCATGTTTGCTACCCACAACTGTCCTTGCTCGTCGAGTCTGTGGCCTCTACCCGCTCTACCCGCTTCCAACACTGCTGCCGATCTCAGCGCTTGTTGGCCGGCCGCCCTTCGCCCTCGACCGATCCAAGCTCCGCGCGAGCGCAAATGCAATGCCAAGCGATGCTCACCGCCGTACTTTTGCATCATCACAAGTGATGCTCTCCTCACCGCTGACTTGAAGGGCAAGACGAACCCGATCGGACGGAGGACTCGTCACTCGCGAGGCGTGCGGCGGTTGTTCGGGCTGATTTAGATCAGAACGGGACGACAGAGAGCACACGCAGTAGCAGCGATGAACGCCCACAGATATCCTCGCTTCCTCCTTCTCCGGTATTCCATCCCTCATCGTGAGCTATCCCCGATCGTGAGCCATCTCCATCCCCATTCCCTCCCATGGAACAAAACCATCCACAGTCAACGAAACGACGACGACGACGACGACGACCAGCGGAGATAGCGACAGCGACAGTGACAGCAGCCACAGCCACAGCCAGAGCCATAGCCACAGCCTCACCTCTCACCCACCCACACTCTTGCACGCGCAATAACTATGTTCCGTACTGGCTCGCTCACTCAGCCCCTCCGGGCCCACCTTCCGACTCTGACCAAGACGACGAGCATGGCAGCTGGCAAGGCCATGGGCGCGACGGCGAGTCGTTCGGCGTCTTCGGCTGTCATTGCGTCGGTGACGGCTCGGGAGATCCTGGACTCGCGGGCTTCCCTACGCTTGAGGCGGACATCTATACTTCGGATGGAGTGCTTCATCGTGCTGCTGTGCCTTCGGGTGCTTCGACGGGTGTGCATGAGGCTCTGGAGCTGCGTGACGGTGGCTCGCGTTATGCTGGCAAGGGCGTTCTCACCGCTGTGGCCAACGTCAAGGATGTGGGAACTCAGCTGATTGGTGCTGATCCCGTTGATCAGGCCAACATTGACGAGGTGCTCATAACTGCAGACGGAACTGAGAACAAGGGCAAGCTTGGTGCTAATGCCATCCTTGCTGTCTCCATGGCTGCTGCAAAGGCTGGTGCCTGGGTCGCCCAGGTCCCGCTCTACGCTCATCTGGCCAACCTTGCCGGCCGCTCCACCGAGGCCTACACCATGCCTGTTCCGCTGCTCAACGTCATCAACGGCGGCGAGCACGCTGGCAACGGTCTCGCCATGCAGGAGTTCATGCTCGTCCCGCGGTCGGCCGACTCGTTTGCCGACGCCCTCCGCATGGGCGCCGAGGTCTACCACGTTCTCAAGGGCCTCATCAAGGAGGCCTACGGGCCCGATGGCGTGGCGGTCGGTGACGAGGGCGGCTTTGCGCCGGCCATCGACAGCAACACGGCCGCGCTTGACCTCCTTGTCGCCGCCATCGACAAGGCCGGCTACGCCGACTCGATGGGCCTCGCCATGGACGTTGCCGCCTCCGAGTTCTTTGACCCCGACGCCGGGACCTACGACCTCGGGTTCAAGACCCAGCCCAACGACGGCTCGCGAGTGCTCTCGGGCGGTCAGCTGAGCGACCTCTACGCCGAGTACGCCGCCAAGTATCCCATCGTCTCCATCGAGGATCGTTTGACCAGGACGATTTTGCCAACACCAAGGCGCTCACCGCCAAGCTCGGCGACTCGGTCCAGATTGTTGGCGACGACTTGCTCGTCACCAACCCGGCCCGCATCGCCACCGCCGTCGCAGACTCGGCATGCAACGGCCTGCTTCTCAAGGTCAACCAGATCGGTTCCGTTACCGAGGCCCTCGAGGCCGCTCGCGTCGCCCGCGAGGCCGGCTGGGGCGTTATGGTCTCTCACCGCTCCGGCGAGACCGAGGACACCTTTATTGCCGACCTCGCCGTCGGCCTCGGCTGCGGCCAGATCAAGACCGGCGCTCCGGCACGCTCTGAGCGCCTCGCAAAGTACAACCAGCTTCTCCGTATCGAGGAGGAGCTCGCCGCCGCCGCCGCCTACCCCGGCTGGACCCGCAACTAAGCTCCTCTTGCCAGAGTAAACTCTGATCCAACGATCCAGTCTCCGGGCAGAGTCCACAGAGTGTCGAGTTGACTGCGTCCTGCGGCTGACGGTGATGCCAACCCTCACGCGTCAGCACGACACGACTCAACTCAACCGCGCGCGCGAGCCACCACCTTGTACAAGGCGAGTTGTTTGGGCATGGCAAGCAACACGAGCTCGCCGCATCAGAGCTTTGGCCTTCAGGAGCTTCCCACCGAAGTCGTTCATCTCATTGCCTTTCATTCCAACGTGCTCGAGTCCGGCGACGTGGTGGCGCTGGCAACGACCTGCCGCTCGCTTCACCGGGCTCTGCTCGGATCCGAATATGGTCGCGGGCTGGCCATGGCATTGGCGGGATGGGATGTGAGCGTGGAGGCGCGGAACTGGCGGGCTGCTTGCCATGTCGTCCGCCGGCTAGATGAGGATGATCGCGCGGGCTTTTGGGCCGATGGCGAGCGGATGATGGAGGTCTTTGACGGCGGTTGTGCCACTGATCCGGCGTGGCACGCGCTGGTGGCTGCCATGGCTGCCAGCGGCGCCGCGTGTGAGATCGGATGGGACGACGCCTTTGGACAGGTTGTGTGGGAAGGCTGCCAGCGTATGGTTGGCGTCGGTGCTATGGCCGCGGCCTATGGCAATGAGGAGCTGGCCATGGAGCTCGCGCCGCGGCTGGATGCCGATGAGCGTGCGTTGATGGTGGCCATTGGTGCCCAGATGGGCATGCTTGCCCTTGTGGAGTGGCTGCTCGACGACGAGGCAGTCGATGCCTCGCTGGAGAACAACTACGCGCTCCGTGCCGCGACCCGGACCAATTGCGAGCCGATGCTCCGGCTGCTGCTGGCACACCCGAGCACCGATCCTGCCGCCGACAACAACACCGCCATCCGGTGGGCGGCCGGCCATGGCCTGACCCGCATGGTCGAGCTGCTGCTAGCCGACGTCCGGGTTGATCCGACGGCCTACAATGACTTTGCCATCCGCGTTGCCGCCGGCAACGGCCACTGCGCCGTCGTCGACCTGCTCCTCGCCGACACCCGCATTGACCCCTCGGCCGACAACAACGAGGCGCTCATCGCCGCCGCCTTTCGCGGGCACACCGACGTCGTTGCTTCGCTCCTTGCGCATCCGCGCGTTGATCCATCGTCCGCCAACAGCCACGCCCTCCAGATAGCCTCCAAGTACGGCCACCTCGACGTCGTCATGCTGCTTCTCGCCGACGAACGCGTCGATCCCGCCGCCGACAGCAACGAGGCGCTGGTCGCTGCCGCTCACCGCGGGCACGCCGCGGTTGTCCGTGCCCTCCTCGCCGATCCACGGGTCGACCCCTCGGCCAACGACAACCACGCCATTGCCACCGCCTCGGGCTGCGGCCACCTGGCAGTTGTCGAACTGCTCCTCGCCGACGACCGCGTCGATCCCTCAGCTTACAGCCACTACGCGCTCCGCTGGGCTGCTCGCGGAGGCCACCTTGCCGTCGTTACGCGCCTCGTTGCCCATTCGCGCATCGGTCTCGATCCACATGCCGCCGCCACCATCATCGCCGCCACCCGCGCCGGCGACACTGCTGTTGTCGAGCGGCTCACTACGCCCAACACTGCCGCAGATTTGCCAACAGCCTTGTAGCGCGCCCACCCCTGTCTCGCCACCCCCACCCGATCAACCGCCCCTGTCTCACCACCCCCACCCGATCAACCGCCCCTGTCTCACCACCCCCACCCGATCAACCGCCCCTGTCTCACCACCCCCACCCGATCAACCGCCCCTGTCTCACCACCCCCACCCGATCAACCGCCCCTGTCTCGCCACCCCCCACCCGATCAACCGCCCCTGTCTCGCCACCCCCACCCGATCAACCGCCCCTGTCTCGCCACCCGCCACCCACCCACCCACTCCCAACCACCCACTCCCACATAGCAACCACTCCACTGCATCCACCCCCAACCAAGGAACCACCACTGTAGTCTACCATGTCTACAGACAGTGTGTCCCTTCCCCGCGCAGGTATGTCGTCCTCCCTTCCCCTCCCCTCCCCTCCCCTCCCCTCCCCCTCCCCTCCCCTCCCCTCCCCTCGCCACGCGCCCTGTTTCCCCGCCAACACGTCACGATACCGGCATCCCCCCCCCTCCCCTGTGACCATTTTCACCTCACGAACCACACAATACCACACAATATTATGGTATGTGCTAATGATGTTATCACTCATGGGTGGGTGCGGCTGGGATGACTTTGTGTGTAGAGTACGAAGCGCTGGTGGAGCTCGATGATGAGGTGGGTCGGCTCAAGGCGGCCAACAGGTCGCTCGTCCGTGACAATGATCGGCTGGTGGCAGAGGTGAACGAGGCCCGGGATGAGGTGCGACGGCTAGAAGTGGACAATGATCAGCTGGGCGCTTCGGTGGCGGCGCTCTCGGCCCAGTTGGTTGACATTCAAAAGAACCATGCCCAGAGTGCCTCGGTGGCCTCAACTACCTTCTCGGCGGACATCTATGATCTCCAGGCGGCGCTGGAAGACGCTCGCGCTCTCAACGCTGATCTGGCACGACAGGTTGAAGAGACTCGCGCCACCTCGACCACGCAGTTGATGGCGTTCAAGGAGACGGAGGCTCGGGTCGATGAGCTGCTGGTCGAGCTCGACGAGGTTAGCACTGCTCGCCGCGAGCTGCTGCTCCGCGTCTCGCGCGACAATGCCGCGCTTGCTGACGCTCAGGCCGAAGCCCTCGAGGCTCGTGATGCGCTTGCTCGTGAGCGTGCAGGACATGCCGACCTCCTCGCTGCTCTTCAGTCGCGGGTCTCGGCGCTCGAGGCTGAGCTCGCCTCGCTCCGTGTCGACAACGACGGCCTCGCCGCAGCTTCCGGCGCCGACGGTGCTCCGCAATCTGAAGCCGTTCTCGAGCTTCGTGCCCGGTTGCAGGCCTCGCAACATGAGACCCGTGAGCTGCTGGGTCGCCTCGCCGAGCTTGACGCCGAGACCGCCGCCGTCCGCGCCGCCCACCACGAGTACGTTACCGAGGCCCGCAGCCTCCGTGCCCGTCACGTCAACGCCGCATCGGCCGCGGAAGTCTACCAGCGCGAGCTGGCTGCCACCCTGGCCGAGGCCATGGCGCTGACCTCCGAGCTGAGCGCGGCACAGGCTCGCATCGAGTCGCTCCGCGGCCGTCTCGCCGCCGCACCCAACGGCTCGGACGCGCTCCGTGTCGCCCTCGACTCGGCCGTTGCCGAGCGCAACGAGGCATATGCTCGTGCGACTGCCTTTGAGGCCGACATCGCCGCCCTTCGCAGCCAGGTCGCCGACATGGAAGCCTCCGCCGTCCGCGCCTCGGTCACCCTCGCCGCCGCCCGCGCCGAGGAGACGGCCGCCAAGGCTGAGCGTGCCGATGCTACCGCCGCCGCCGCCACCCTCCAGCAGCAGCTCAAGGCCGCCGAGGCCGAGCTCGACGACGCCCGTGCCCGCGCTGGTGACCTCCCTGCTCGCCGCTCCAGGTACCGCGGCAGCTCAGATGGTGACAGCCTTGCTGCCAAGGAGGACCAGGTTGCCTCCATGCGCGCCGAGTCGGCCGCCGCTGACTCGACTGCTGCCGCCGTCGCTGACAAGCTCCGCGCCGAGCGCGCCCGTGTCCGCGCCCTTGAGGAGGACGTAGCCAAGCGCGAGTCCGCTGCTGTCCTTCTCACCCAAAAGCTTCGCAACGCCGAGGAGGAAATTGCCGGCTACGCCCGGATCGTCGCTCGCTACGAAGCCGAGACCGATGAGCTCGCCGCCAAGGTCTCGGCTCTCTCGGACGCCAACACACACTACGCGGCAGACGCTGCTGCCCGCAGCTCGACCTCGGGCGTCCTCGCCTCGGGCACCGCCATCGAGCTCCAGCAGCAGCTGGTCGCCGAGTCGGCGCGCTCGCTCGCGCTGCAGGATCGAGTCCTCGAGCTCACCGCCGAGCGCGACGCCCTCGTCCGCCAGGTCCAGGCTGAGGCCGCTACTCGGGCGTCGGCCCATGATGAAATTGCCCAGCTCGAGGCAAGCCTCGAGGCGCGCGCCGCACTCTTTGCCCAACTCCACGAGGCTCACGACGAGGTTGTCGCCGCCGTCCGCGTCGAAGAGCTCCGCAACGAGTCGATGGACCTTTCGTCGCGTCTCGCCTCGATGGACGCCGATCTCTCTGCCATGGAGGCCGAGGCTGCTGAGGGCGGCGACCGCGACCGCCGCGAAGCCCTCCTCCGCCTCGAGATGCGGACTATCGAGCTCGAACAGGAGCTGCTTCTCACCCGGACTCGCGCCGAGGAGCGCCTCGCCGCCTACGAGGCCCGCGTCCGTGCCTCGGCCGAGGCCCTCGCTTCGTTGCAGTCGGGTGTTGGCCATCCGGTCCAGGCCGCCATCTACGAGCGTGAGATTGAGGCACTCAAGTCGGAGCGCGCCGCGCTTCTTGCGCAGGCCCAGGTCGACACCACCCGCCGTGCAGACTACGAGGCCCGCATCGCCGCCCTTGTTGCCCTGCAGGATCCGGCCGCACTCTCGGTCGGCAGCTTGCCCACAGCCTCGGCGCTCACCAACGAGCAGATTGAGGCTCTCTCCGAGGACCGCCTCCGCGCCGAGCTCAAGGCCATGCGCAACGACAACATCGAGCTCCGTCGCCGCGTGGAGGCCCTCCTCGAGTCGTCGCGCGTCACCATCGCCTCACTCAAGGAGCGGGTCGAGGGCGCCGCCCGCGACGCAGAAGACACCCGCCGCGTTGAGGAACTCGAGGATGAGAACAATGAGCTCCGCGAACAGGTCCGCATGATCCACGCCTCTGTCGAGATGCGCATCTCGTTCCTCATGATGCAAATCGAGACGTTGACCGAGGAGAACGAGAAGCTGCAGGTCGCACTCGGCGCAACGCCGTCGCCGTCAGCCTCGCACGCTTCGCAGCCGGCAAGCAGCTCCGCCCGCAAGTCGGCTGCCTCTGCCGAGCTCTCGCCGCCGCGCCGCCCGCCGCAGGCCTCGCCATCGGACCAGCACTGGGACGCCCTCGTCCAGGAGCTCCACGAGGCCAATGCCGAACTCCGCGACGAGGTCCGCAAGCTGGAGGCTGATTCGGCCGCCACTGTGACGGCGCTGGAAGAGCGCGTCGCCGAGCTGCAGGCCGAGCGCGAGGCGCTGCTCAACGGCGGGAGCAGTGGCGGGAGCAACTCGCCTCACGTCACCCCACTCACCGCCAAGGTTGCTGCACTCCAGTCACGCAACACGCAGCTTGAGGAGCGAGTCGCCGCGCTGGCATCGGCCGATGACGTGGCGCAGCAGCGCGACCAGCTCGAGGTGCAGCTCGCAGCGCTGAGACAGCGATACATCTACGTTGTCGAGCGCAACCAGGAGCTCGAGGCGAGCGCCGCAGCGAGCGAAAACGGGCCTCGTGCCGCGTCGGGAGCTCCGGACGCTCGGGCACAGGCCCTGCTGGCGCGGTCAGACCGGACGCTCGAGGCAGGGCGGGCCATCGAAAGCCGGGCCGACAAGGCTCTGGGCAAGCTCGTCGAGACAAACGGGGCGAGCCCCGAGGCCATCAACGAGCTGGTGGCATGCTCGGTGAAGCGGAGCGAGCTGGCAGCGGCGCAGGCGGCGCTGCAACGCGAGCTGGCGGAGACGGCGGCGGCCGCGTCGGGCGAGGCCGTGGTGGCCCGGGCCCGCGCGCGCGAAGCCGAGATGGAGGCGCGCGAGGCCGCAGCGCGCGAGGCCGCAGTCGCCAAGCAGGCCGAGCTTACCGCCGCCGAGCTGGTGCGCGCCGAGGAGGTGGCTGCGGCGGGTCGGAGGCAGGTTGCTGTCTACGAATCGTCGGGCACGCTCGATGAAAAGCTGGTGGCGCAGGCGCAGGCCACACGTGCCGCCGAGGCCGAGGCCGACACCCACTTTGCGTCGGCGACCGAGGCACAGCGGCGGTGCATCGAGGTCCAAGCCGAGCTGGCGAGCCGCGAGGCTGAGCTCCACGCAGCACTCAACGAGCGGAACCACGCGCTGTCCGAGGCGCACCGGCAAGTCCAGGACGCGCTGGCAAGCAAGGCTGAGCTCCACGCCGAGCTGGCCGCGAGCAGGCAGCGTGAGGAGGCGCTGACCTCTCGGGTCGAGCCGGTTGTCTCGGACGCCGGCAAGGCGCTCGCCCACGCCGAGCTTATCCAGGCCGAGAACACGAGGCTCAGCTATCAGTTGGCCAAGGAAGTTGAGCAGCGCGAGGCGCTCGAGGAGCAGATCGGCGAGATGCAGGGCGTCATCGCCGACCGGCTGCGCGGCCTCGAGTCGCAGCTGATGGGCGAGGCCGGAAGCGACCCGGCCGCCGATGCGGCGCGGCCGCACGATGAGCTTGTGGCGCTTGTCGGCCAGCTCCGTGCCCACAACGAGGCGTTGCTCGCTGAGCGGGCAGCGCTCGAGGAGCAGATTCGCGCTCACAACGACGTCATGTCAGCGTCAGCATCGTTCCTTCGCTCCGAAAACGTGTCGATTGTCGAGCAGGCCCGCCAGCTGCAGGAGCAGCGGGCGCTTCTCCGCGACGGTCTAGCCGGCCTCGACGACGCCAACGCCATCCTCTCTGGTGGGTCCGAGGACGAGCTGCGGACTGTGCTCAAGTCGCTCGTCTCGGAGCGGACCCAGCTTGTGCTGCAGACCGATGCCACCTTTGACCTGCTCAGGCGGACGCTCGGTGTCTTCCGCGAGTCGGCCACGGTCATCCGCTCGCTCCAGGGCAAGAACCGCAAGCTGAAGGCCAAGGTCAAGACCAAGGCCGCCCGTGGTGCGCAGTAGGGAGGGATATCCCAGTTGTTTCATTAGAGAGTGTAAACAACACAGCACAGCAGAAGACCGGCTAGGCTGAGCTGCCTGGGACGGTCCTCCGCTTCGAGCGCTTCTCGCGCTTGATGGTGACGGCGGTGGCGCGGCCGGCGAGCTTCTTCATCCAGGCCGGGAGCTCGGACGCACCACCGTCCGACTCGTTCATGGCGACGCGGGCATGGGCGAGAGCCTTGAACTGGGATTGGATGGTCGGGTAGGAGCGGAGGACCTCGTCGAGGACGGTCTTGCGGAGGACGTAGAGGACGACCGGGGTAGAGGCGACGACGGTGGCGGTGCGGACGGTGTCGAGGAAGAGGGCGATCTCACCAAAGAACGAGCCGCGCGAGAGGGCAACGTCTGCGCCGCTGGGCAGGTGGACGGCGACCTGGCCCGAGGCGATAAAGTACATCTCGCGGCCGAGGTCACCGGCCTCGACAATGGTCTGGCCAGGCTCAGCCTTGTGCTTGTCCATGCGCGACATCATGTCGTCAAGGAAGCGGGCGTTGCGACCAAGGTCAAACTCGGCGGCCTCGGAGCCTGCCAGCGGCGAGTAGACGATCTTCTTGCGGCGGCCCTTGGGCGGCGGCTTCATGCCGCGCGGCTCGTGCTCGAGCGACATCGAGTAGCACTTGTTCTCGTCCCACTTGGGCGCGGCGTGGGCGAGATAGGTCTGGATGGTGGGGACCGGATGGAAGACGTAAGCCGAGCCGGAGCGGAAGGAGAGCAGGTCTGCAACGACCTCGTAGGTCATGCGGTGCTTGGCCATGTTGACCAGGTGGGCGCCATCGACCTTTTGCACAAACGACTCGTTGCCATCGTCGATAAAAGTGAGGTCCTGCAGCGAGACGCCGAGGTAGGGGATGAGCGGTGGTGCGGCCGACTTGAGCTTGTCGCGATAGGCGCGGTAGTTGTGGGTCATGGACATGACGTCCTTGAGGTCGAGGAAGAGGGCGTCGTACTCGGGCGGGAGGAGCTCCCAGGTGTACTTGAGGCGGGTGAGGGCGGCGCCTTCGAGGGCGGAGAGAATGGCCATGAGTGCGTTGTAGTTTTGCAGGGCGAGGCAGTTGTTAGCCACGTCGAGCATGATGCAGATCATGCGGGCGCGGTACTTGGGCCCGTCGCACTTGAGCACCTCGGTCCGTGCCCATGCCACGGTGTCGTTGAACCGCTTGATCATGGCGAGCACGTACGGCGCCCGCATCTCGGCGCCCTTGCGGGCCCAGGCCTGCCCGAGGAACTCGTTCGGCTTGATACGCTCAAAGACGGCATAGTCGAGGAGCGTGAGCTGGCGGACAACCTCGAGTGGGTGCAGCTGCGCCATGGTGTGGAGCGGCTTGGAGGTGAGAAGGAGTGATGGCGGAGCCTGAGTCGACTCTTCAAAAGTGATGGAGCTGGCCGAGGCGAGCTCCGAGGCGGCGGCCGACGACGCGCCGAGAGTGTCGTCGTCGTCCGACTCGTCCGAGTCCGAGTCGCCGAGCGAGAGTGCGCGGAGCTGGTCCATGACGGCGGCGGCGTCCTCGTCGAGGCGCGACTTCCACTTTTCGCGAAGCTTGGTGGCGGCGGCGGCGACCGAGGCTGCGAGCGGCTCCGACGCGTCGACGCGATCAAGGAAGGTGGTGACGGCGGCGGCGAGGGTGCCGTGTGAGGGAAACTCGTACGGCGCGAGCGAAACCCATTCGGCGAGGAAAGCGAGCGTCTTCAGCTGCATCGGCGCCTGCTCCTTGGCCACAAACGCGTCGACGGTGGCCTGCGCGGTCGACGCAGGGAGCGAGAAGAACCGCATCTCGAGGTAGGTGAGGAGCCGGAGCGCCGGGAGGTAGAGCGAGTGGGTGAGGATGAAGATCTTGCGGAGGGAGCGGTCGCCGACGCCCGGCTGAGTCATTTTGCGAATGAGGAAATCGATGGCCATGGCCTCGATCGAGAGATCGACCGTCGAGTCGTCGTACTTGTCGTGCCAGTACGGCAGGAGCCGCGGGACGTCGAGACCCTTGCGGAGGCGGACAACGGTCGACGAGACGCCCGTGTCCGGGCGGACGGTGCGGATCATGGTGCCTGCGGCGCTGAGCTTGCGGCGTTCGAGAATGCCGCGCCACCAGGCTTGAATGAGGACCGCGGCGGCCTCCATGCGGCTCGCCTCGACCTGATCCTGCACATTGGTCACGACCATCTCCGAGTCGACCGACTGCAGGTACTCGAGCCCGCCCGAGTGGGCTTGCAGGTCCGAGAGAAGGACGACGGCCTCGTCGGTACCCGCTGGAGCGCCCTCACCGCCGGGCGTGTCGGGCGCCTTGAGATCGATGTATGTGACGGCGTCGGTTGAGACGATGGCGCGGATTGAAGGCGGAAGTTCATGGGCGGTGTCGGCGACCACGTCCCAGGCCTCGAGCGAGCCGGCGAGGCTGGCGCCGGTCTGGAAGACGCCGACAATCTCGGTGAGCGCCGACGAGGTCGAGCGAAGAAGTCGGCAGTAGCGGAGCCGCTGGGCGAGAACGATACGGCGGAGCGCGTCCTTCTCGAACCGCTGCGCGTTCTGGATGGCGTCAGAGACCGAGTTGAGCGAGGCCGTCAGCTCGTCGGCGCCGGCCTTGTTCTTCATGGCCTTGACACCGAGCTTGGACGACGTCTTTTCGGCCTTCTTCACCGCCTTCGCGTGCTTCTTGGCTTCCTCCTCATACTCGGATGAGAGCGCCTCGGACTCGGTCTTGTACTCGGTCACGATGGCGCGCGCAGGCTCGACGACGCCGTGGTGGAGCGCCGCCGTCCACGCCTCGATGCCCGACTGCACCAGGTTCCATGCGTCGAGCACCTCATGCAGGGCAAGCCCCACGTCCGAAGTCCCGAGCGTTGCATCGGCCGACTCTGCCGTCAGCGTTGAGAACGTGGCCATAAACTTGGACCCTTGCTCCGTCGCCTTGCGCAGCAACTCGACATACTTTGCGCCTTCTTTCGCAAACTGATGCCGACCAGGCGAGGTCCGAGAATATACCCATTGCAAGCAAGCGGGAGCACACAGCGCAGCGCAGACACACCGCATTCACAACCAAGAGAGAGCATCGACACGAGGAGGCGAGAAAGAAAGCCAACCAAAAAAAGGAGGCAGAAATGACATGTCGCAGGCGAAGCAAGTGACCGAACGAGCGACAGCGGGAGGGGGGGGGGGGGGAGCACCAGCCACCAGACACAGACATGACCAAGCCAGAAGCAGACCATACACACAGACACACATACATGTGCATGCCCATACATATGCCCACACGCACATCACACACTATGAGTCCACACACACACACACACACCCTCCCCCACCCCCCAGACACGCCACCACCGCCACCACCACCACCCACCGCCCGCACCAACCAGGAAGGCTTACCTTGTCCAGCTGTGGTGGTTGGTCCTGCAGACGGGTGAGTGCAGCTGCAGAGATGGCAGGTAGGGATGGCCGAGAGTGTACACGGGTGATGCGGGATGATGACCGCGCACGCATGCTCCTTTCCCCTCCCAACAGGATCAGAGAGAGAGGCGTGCGGTTGTGTGGGGAGAGGTATGTCGGTCAAGGTCAGGCCATCTCGCTAGCATGTCGGGTCAGACCTGATGATTTACTGCAAATGCCGGCGACGACGACAAGGACGAGGAGGAGGAGGAGGAGCACTAGTCGATGTGGCGCTTGCCGAGGCAGACCAGGCCGCATCTAGCTGAGGTCGCCCATGTCGGCCTCGACGGTCTCGTAAAGCTTCTTAAAGTTACCGGCGCCAAACTGGGCACAGGCCGACTTGTCGATGGAGTCGAGGGCGAGCGGGTCGAGCTCGATGTCGTCGACGTTAGGGTCCTTGGACGAGCCGTCCTTGCGGATGAAGCAGCGGCGCTCGAGGATCTCGATAAAGATGGTGGGGCGGGTGCCGAGCGGCTTGGTGAAGATCTGGAGGAGGATGCCCTCGTCCGGGTGGATGTCAATGAGGATGCCGCGCTCCTTGCACATGGCGATGTCCTCAGCCGAGAGCGAGTCGCCGACACGCGAGGCTGCCCAGGTGTAGTAGTCGACCTTGCGGCCCTCGTGAACGACCTCGGGCGGCGGCGGGAGGAACTCAAAGCCGATGTCCGAAGCAGCGTTCATGGCGTCAAAGGTGGCAAAGACATCGCCGGTCTTGAGGGCGAGGTGCTGGACGCCTGCGCCGCCCATCTGCTCGAGGAAGATGGTGATCTGCGACTTGGACGGGGTGCCGTACATGGGCTCGTTGATGGGAAGGAGGATGGTCTCGGCGTTGTTGGCAATGACGATCGAGTTGATGCCCGACTTCTTGGTGCCAACGTCCTCGGTCGAGAACTCGGCAAATCGGTGCCAGCCGAGGACGTTGTTAAAGTACTCAAAGGTCTCCTTGCACGAGAAGACGTTGCCAACCACGTGGTCGAACCGGTAGAGACCAAACGTCTTGCGGCTGGCGTCGTCGTTGACGGCCTCGTAGTCGGGCAGGTACGAGCCGTCGTCGGCGCCCGAGACAAAGCGCATGACCACGTCGCCGTATGCCTGGATCTCGGAGACCGTGACGCCGTTGGCAAAGGTCCGCGGGCGGCGGACCGGGATGCCGCCGTTGGCGACCGCAGTCTCAAACGCCACCGTGGCGTCGGGCGTGGTGACAGCGATGGCGCGGACGGCGAGACCGTGCTTGGTGAAGAACTCGGCGGCCTCGACGCCGTTGTAGTCCGGGTCCGGAACCGCCGTCGACTTGCCCTCGCGGCGGGCAATGAGCGCGCCGTGCGGCGACGCCGGCGACGTGATGACAAACCGCAGGTTCTCCGACTCGAGAATGTACGACGAGTACTCAAAGTTGCTGGTGTTGCGGTCCGACCGCGCCACCAGCCGCATCCCGAGCCCGGCCCGGAACCGCTTCATCACCGTCAGCGCGTCGCCGACGTAGAACTCGAGGTGGTGGAACTCGCCGGTCTCCACCTTGTCCGACATCGGGTTCCCGTCGTTCTTGCGCGCCTCATACCCGAGGATCCACCCCTCGGACGCCAGCTGCTTACCCGACCCAAGCACCTTGGTCTCGTCGGCCTTGATCGCATTGACCTCCTCCTCGATGGCCGCAATCCGCGCAGCCGTGAATGCCTCCTGGGACGGCCCTGTAGTAGGTAGCCCAGCAGCGTAGGATCCACAGCAGCGCAGGAGCCACAGCAGCGTAGCAGCCACAGCAGTGGAGTGATGCAGCAGTGTGCGGCGATGCAGCAAGTGTAGCAGCCCAATACCGCCACCATCGCCCCATCAGCCCCATCAGTGCAGCGGATAACCCCAGCGCATTGCATAGCATCCGCCAAGACACCAGCATCACGTTACGTCACCAGCATCACCATTGCGTTGCGAGGCCGAGCGGAGGAGAAGAGCCCACAATAACGAGAGATACACACACATACCCCGAGGACCAACATCCATGTGTGAGTACCAATGATCCGAGGGTGTAGTACGGGATGGAGATGGGGGGAGGGGGGGAGGGGGGGGGGGCAAGCAAGGGGGAGGGGGGGAGGGGGGGAGGGGGGGAAGGGGAGGAGGGGGGACAGGTCGCATTGCGCGTGACCCGTCCATCTTTCATGAAGATCCT